ATCAATCAATTAATATGGGGTTATTTTTTATATTGTTCCAGGCACTATCTCACCTTACCAATAATCTATTATTAGCCATATTGAGGAATGACATTATGGTTGTTGATCAAGATGTAAAAGCTATCATGCCTTTACTATTGCAGTTGGCAAAAACCAAGATATTAAGGGTAATCATGTGTTCAACTATATATTAATAAATGCCCATAATACATGTTAGTGAGATATATGAATTATTTTAAAGGTTGGTGATCCTGAATCCAATGATAGTAATACCAGTGAATTTAATCGAGAGGATTTTAATAATAGCAAAGAATTTGACTCTGTGTTTACTCGTAAGTCACTCGTTACTCACATATTACATTAAAATTGCATGCTGTTKTAGTTTATGAATCTATTTACATTGTGGGTTGAAAAGCCTTACTGAGTTTGGTACTTATTTCTCTTACAGAAGTAAGGTCACAGGTCATGGATATTGTCAGAATTATAGCACAGCAATTCCCTSTTGAAACATTYTTTGAAGCAGCTGATTGGCTGCTGCAAAATGTCGAAAAGACACAAGCACGAAAACAGTCAGGTAAGAKTCATATTAGGAGATATCATTAAAGTCTATTAAATARCATTATCATAAATGTATTGTGTTTGGGGGTACAGAACAGCTGACATCACTTCAGGTCCAATGGGATGGTCTTTGCTGCTATATGACTGCTGTAATGTACAAGATTTTTACAGTTCAAAACATCAAGGTGTGTTTGTAAAGAGAAAATCTAATGATCAAATCCTTATAAATTACTGTATATATAATATTATTCTGTCAATGCTTTGCTACAGGAATTACTAAACAAAAAGTTGCCTATCAAAGGGAATTCAATGACAATGCTTGAGCTAGCTAAAAGATGTATTCAATCTTTAATCATTGCTGATATTACTACAACGTTTAATGTAAGTTATGAGATACYGACAGTGTTTGCTGTCTATMTATTTTCCACTTGTTGGAAAATATGTTGTCTGCAAAAGGCTRCACACATGTAAGTATTTTATGTGAGARTTTTCCTTTTTCAGGATGCTACTATACTTACAAATGTTGCAGATACTCTTCAATCATTGCTAAGTTTTCTGACTCATGCTCAAGACCTTATCCTCGATGTACTCAAAAAGGTAATTATTCCTTTATATTTTATTTGGGATTGTTTTACTTAATTTTTGAAATGAATATTTAGTTATATTTGTATCTGTAGATATTTTCTCTTGTAACATACAATACAACAGGAAAACCAGAGGTAAATTATATAGTGTTCATTGTAAAGATACATGACGTTGTTTGACTTGTGTATTTAATGTCAGTAGTACATAATTAATACAATTTGTTCTTGAAGGCTCCTTGGACAGTTGATGTTCTTCATACTCGTAGAAGAGCTTGTTCAGCATTRCTAAAAATGTGCTCTGAATATGGCAACCTTCTTGTGGTATGACAAAAGCGTCATCTAAATTCTATATTTTATTATTCAATAGTTATAATATGTCATAAATGATTTTCACTCAGCCATTATTTGATGAGCTCAAGCAGTATGTCATGTCACTTTTTAATGGTGAGCTGGTTACAATTCAAGACAGAACAACATTGACTGAAGCACTAGTAATAGCAAGGTGAAGCCAACCATATTCTGTAAATTGTTTACTAGTACTGGTTAAAGCRTGTACATGCTTGTTTTTCAGCAATTTTGTTGGTAATAAACAGCAAAATGATTTTATTGGAAGTCTGCTTAGTCCCCACAAGGAATTACTCATAGATAACAGGTATAATATTTGAAGACTCATTAACAACTGTTCTGATAATACCATCCCAGGTTGAACATCTTAGCAAGATTCATGGAAGATCATGCATGATCTTACCATGATCTTTCCATGATCATACCATGATCTTGCTAAAAACATAAAAGATGTTTATATTTCTTGCAGCTTCTTACAGGATCTTGTGACAARAYCATGTCAAGATCCTGCTAGTTTCATGGCAAGATACTATTCATACTTTTACCTTTATTTTGAATGATCTTGACATAATCTTACAAGATCATGGCATGTTCATGGGATAACCATGGCAAGACCTTCAATAATCTTGGCATGAGCTTAATTTTATCATGGCAAGAATCAGATCTTGATTAAGATTTGGTT